GGGCCCTCTTGGGACGCCTCTTGGGGGCCTCTTGGGGCGTCTCGAGGGCCTCTTGGGCCGTCAGGGGGCCATCTTGGGCGTCTTGGAGCGATCCATCGGCGACTCGGGGCCCTCTTGGGCCATCTTGTTGTGGGCCTCTTGGGGCCCTCATGGCCCGTCGTCAGGCCTGTGACGAGTTCAGCCGGGACCGGCTGGACCCCCCCCCCTCCAAACCGACCAGACCGGGCCCCGGGGGGAGGGGTTTGGAGAGGGGGAAGCATCTCACACGCCGATGACCCCAAGGGGTCGGCGGATTCTTTCACGACGCGACCCCCAGAGGTCCGGACCCATTCCCAAGGACCAGTTTCTCCTCCCGAGTCGTTTTTTGACTGTCCCGAGGCCCGATAAGGGCCCCCGGAGGCCGAAAATAAAGTCCTCGGAAAAAAATATCGAACACTCATGCTACATTCATCTGTCAACGCCTCCCCCTCCCCCCCATGTTCAAAGTTCGCGGTGGGTCTGATGAGTTGCACCTCGACCGCAGTCTCCTCCGCGCGTGCCCACTTCGAGTTTGGGGGGGAGGGGGAGTGTTCAGCCATCGCTTCCCTCTGCCGTAGCGAAAAAATCAGGCGATCGCCAACATGGATCAAGGGGACGTGGATGAGCGACGGGTCCCGTTTCGATGGGACATCGCGGACTTCCGCCGCCGAGCGAGGCGGCACCGGCCGCATTTTTGGGGGAGGGTACCTTCCCGATCCATGGACCCAGAGATCCGATGTCGTGATTTTTTCAACACGGGGTCCCCCGAAGTCTCGACCCATTCCCCGGGACCGGTTCTTCATCCTGAGTCGTTTTTCGACGGTCCCGAGGCCCAGCGAGGGCCCCCAGAGGCCGAAAATACCGAAAAACTTCCGTCTTGATTTTTTCAATGCGTTGGATCTTTGGGGATTTGGAGACCGCGCGCCAAATCCATGGATCGCTAATCCATGTCTGCGCGCCCCCCGCCCGCTTCCCCCTCCCCTCCTGCCCCCCTTCCTCCTCCTCCTCCTCCTCCTCCTCCGAAGAAAAAAACCTCCCGCCGTGCTCACCTCGGCCCCCGCGCGCCTCCCCCCGGGAGCCCCCCCCCCCGGCAGGCCCTGCCGGTGGCCCCGGCGGCCTCGGCGCCGAGCGTGGGCAGGAGCGCGCCCCCTCTCGGGGAAGCCCAGACAAGATCGCGTCGCGCAAAGATCAGGACGGGCGGTTTTCTCCAATTTTCGCTCCCTGTGAGCCCTCGCCGGGCCTCGGGAGCGTCAAAAAACGACTTGGGATGAGAGGCCGGTCCTGGGGAAAGGGTCCAGACTTCCAGGGACGCCGTGCTGAAAAAATCTGGACGTCGCATGTCTGGGAACGTAAGACTCGAGTAGGCCGGAACTCGGGTTTGCCGACTTCTTTGGGACGAGCGCGTCCTGGATTTTGACGGTCCCGTCCTCGTGGGATGTATGCAGCGGGAGCCCGCGTCAAATTCCAGACTGAATCTCGTCATTTTTATGGTGGCCCCCGTCAGGCCAGACCGAGTCCTCCGTACCCGAGTCTTTGTCTCCCCGACTCTACCGCGCCCCCGGTCGGGCCAAACGAGAAGGGCAGGACAGGGAAAGGGCAAAAGTCGGGCGTGTCCTTCTACAGGAGGAGAATTCAAGAACAGTTAAAACAATACTCTGGGGACAGTTTGTTTCGACTAGTTTTGTGTATTTTTTTGTTTTTTTTTTTGGTCTACTTCATATTTTTCGTCCAACATCCGCCCGTAGGAGGACATGTCCCTCTACAGGTGGAATACATTCAAGAATTGTGAAACAAATCATGTGATGACGATTTTTCGTGCTCTCTTGACTAATTTTGGATCCTTTTGCGACTGCTGATCCTCGCCCTCCTGATCCTCGCCCGCCGCACCACCGCCGCCCGCTCAGTCTCACCCTCCTCGTCGAGCACAGGCGCACGCCCCTCCGTCTGTATACAGCAACTCCCGATCCACCGCAGAGCGGCCGGCTAGTGTGTGTGTGTGTGTGTGTGGGTGACACAGATTTTTCTCTAATACTACGTTTGATTATTTTGTGCCTGCAACTGATTTGCCGCTGCTGCGCCGCTGCGCCCTGTGAGGGCTGCCTGCGGCCCGCCAGGCTTCGGTCCGTGTCTCGGAGCCGAAAAGGGCGGGCCGGCCGCATCTTGTCGGCCGTGCTCAGGCGCCATGGGCGGCCTCGCCTGTTGGTGCGGGCGGATCGTCCTCGGCCCCTCGTCGGCGGCGAAATCCGACCCCCCACGTATGATGTTCTAAGCCTCTTAGATGGGGTCCGAGCAGATGGGGTCGGAGGATCGCGCCGCATCGCCAATGCATCGGCGATGCTGCTCGATGTGGAGTCCCATTTCCTCCACGCCGACGTCACCTGTGCATGGCCGACGTCGCCGGTGTATCGCCAATGCATCGGCGATGCATCGCCGATGCATTGGCGATGCGGCACAATCCTTCGACCCCATCTGCGAACATGGACCCCTGAGGGCCCCTCTAGAGACCCCTCCACTGCCTGAGCCCTTGCGGACCTGTCTGTTGCCGTAGCCACTGTTATGGTTCGATAGGCCCCCTTCCGCGCGGACGCACGGGCGCCCTCAGCCGCTATTAGCAGGAGGCAGGAAGAGCATCATCCTCAGATCCTCTCGAGCTCGACTCCTCTCGCGATCGTCCTGACGGATTCGCAGTGGCTTGAGCCAGAACAGCGAGAAGTGAGGAGCACGTGACTGGGCAGGAGCCCGTCACACGGTGACGATGACAGACCAAGGAGGAGGTGCAGCCAGCGTGAAGCGGTTCAGCGGGGACGGCAACGACGGAGCTGCTGCATACAAGGTGTGGAAGCGTTGGGCGAGGGCGGCGATTGTGGTCCAGAAGGCTCGGGGCACTCCAGCAGAGGCTCTGGGCCCGTGGTTGTACACACTGTTGGATGGACAGGCGGCCCTGGCAGTGGAGAACGTAGAGTTAGCGGACATCAACGTAGACAACGGTGAGGAGGTGGTGTTCGACAGATTAGACGAGCGGTTTCCTGAGAAGGTGGCAGCAGACCGTCTCGGCGAAGCGATGGAGGAAGGCTTCAGCCTGCGCATCCAGAAGCAAGAGACGACGGAGGCCTACACTGGGCGCGCGCAGCTCGTGTACGCGCGTCTGGCCAAGGAGGGCGTGGACCTGCCGTCGGTCGCCAGAGGCTACCTGATTCTGCGTGGTGCTCGGCTGGGATCTTTTGGCCGTGCGACGGTGATGTCTGCGACCCATCGGAGCTGGAACGTGGAGGAGGTGTGCACGGCAATCAGGACGGCGTTCCCAGGAGTTCCACCAGAGAGGCTCGCGCAGACGGCGTTCGCGGTGGAAGAGGAGCACGGGGACACCGAGATCGGCCCGCCGCCGGAGCACTACGCGGAGGAGAGCGTGGAGGACGACATCACGGACGAGATCGACGCGATCGTCCAGGCGGCGGAGCCGATCGAGGAGGCGGACGCGGTGGAGATCCTGGCGACGTGGAAGCAGACACGCACGGCGATGACCAAGGAGAAGTTGGACCGCGGGCTCAGGCCTCAGTGGAAGGCCCGACCAGGACAAGGAGGTCATGGGGCACCGACCCGGCACGACCTCGACAAGCTCGGCCGTAGGGTGAAGTGTTTTCGGTGCAAGAAGATCGGCCATTTCAGCAGGGACTGCAAGGAGCCCCTCCCAGCCCACAGCTCGCAGATGGTGTTCGTCGAGCCGATGGATGAGGAGGACCAGGAAGAAGCACGAGTTCAGGCAGTACTGGGAGCGGCTCAGGACGACGAGATCATCGACGGGAGCCTGGACGATGAGATCAATAGCATCCTGAAGGTCCACGAGGACAATGTGCTGGCGAAGCTCATCCAGCAGGAGCGCTGGAAGCGGCTGGCGCACGAGATGAAGGAACAGCAGGAGGACGAGGACGCGTCGTCCGAGAAGAGGGCCACCGAGGAAGGGACGGTCCTGGGCGTGACTCACGCCGACGGCTGCTCCGTGCCAGACACGGGGTGCTGCAAGTCCTTGATCGGCGAGGAGACGTTGACCAAGCACGAGGCGGCGACAGGCAAGAAGGCGAGGTGGTTGAAGGACACCAAGCCGATGCGGTTTCGCGGGTTCGACAATAGTGTGCAGGAGTCGGTCGGTGCTGTGGAGCTGGACTGGGAGATCAAGAACTTCATCGTGACGTTCGTGGTGTATGTGGTCCCGGGCTCTGCAGGTTTCCTGATGAGCAAGCCCGACATGAAGGCTCTGGGCGCGGCCCTGGACCTGGAGACGGACTCGTTGTACTTGAAGCGCCTTGGCCTCACGATTCCCATGAACGAGACGGTGGCAGGCCACTACGAGATCGATTTCCTGAACCGGGAAAAGAAGGTGAAGAGGCAGGCGCACACGTCATCAGTGCGCGTGCGGGACGTGGGGAGTCCGCCCACACGGATTTTTCAGTAGGGCCGGGTCGGAGCCCACAGGCCAGGAGAATGGTGACCGAGCTGTTCTCCCCACCTCGTATCGTGCCAGTAGCGGCGCGGTGCGGGTTCTTGGAAGGTCAGAGTCTCGACAAGGTGCACGGCTGGGATGTGGACAAGGACGACGACTACAACGCCATGTGGCAGCACATCATAGAGGACGAGCCGTACTTCGTGCACATGTGCCCTCCATGCCGGAAGTTGTCGATTATGCAGCAGTGCATGCCCTTGGATCGTCGGAAGGATCTGGCACAGCATTTCAGAGATGTGAAGTGGTCAGTGAATTTGGTACATGTGGTCGTGGAGGTCGCGATCTACCAGATGGAGCGGGGCAGGCATTTTGTTTATGAGACCCCCCCGAGGTGCGCGAGCCTCCAGGTGCCAGTGATGAAGCAGCTCCTGCAGACCCGAGGCGTGTACGTGGGCATAGCGAGCGGCTGCGAGTTCGGCCTGAGGTGCCCAGACACCCTGAAGTTGATGCCTAAGAGCTGGGAGTTCGTGACGTCTGCGCCGGAGGTCGCGAAAGCGGTTCACCAGCGGTGTGGAGGAGGACACGAGCATCAGCATACAGAAGGCATGCTGAAGTGTGGGATCAAGCGCACGGTGTTCAGCCAACGGTACCCCAAGAGGCTGGTAGAGGCGATCGTGCGAGGCATGCGACGACAGTGTCAGGTGGAGGCGTTCAGCTCGGAGGCCGCGTGCAAGGCAGTACAGGGAGAGGAAGAGGACGCAGATGAGACACGCGATGTACTACGTCGGCCTCACAGTTCGATAGAGAGCAGCCTCAGGAAGTTGCATGTGCAACTCGGCCACTGCAAGAACAACGTGCTGATAAGACATCTGCGACACGCACACGCCACGGAGCAGGCGATCAAGGCGGCCAATGATTTCTATTGTCCAGAATGCGAGGGCATGAAGTGCCCCAAGGTCGCTCGACACAGTACACCAGCGGAGACCCATCTCCCTTTGAAGTACGTGAGCATGGACTGCAAGGACTTGCCGAGCTGGATCCCGGGCGAGCGGATCACCTGTCTGGGCATCATCGACGAGACGAGCTCCCTACACCAGGTGGAGCCAATGATCGGCATGGCGGAGACGTCGAAGAACCTCATGGATGCGTTCGAGCGGGCGTGGATCCGCCCCTACATCCGTCCGAAGTGGCTGAAGGTGGACCCACATCGGGCGCAGATCAGCGACGAGTTCCTCAACTGGTGCGAGCGGCAGGAGATCGAGGTGGTAGACACAGCAGGTGGAGCGAAGGAGCAGAACGGCAAGATCGAGCACCACAACCAGTTGTTCGAGATCATGCTAGAGGACGTGATCCGCGAGGCGCAGCCCCAGACGGAGACGGAGTGGCGAGAGTGTGTCGCGGAGCTGGTGACGGCCAAGAACAGTCTCCTCTCGGTCACCGGGGTGTCCCCGATGCAGATGGTCTTCGGCCGCAACCCGGAGATCCCAGGCGACCTCTTGAAGGACAACCCCGACCTGATCGCCAACAGCGCCATCGTGAACGACCCGATCGCGGCGCAGCAGGCTCGGATCAGGACGGTCACGCGCATGAAGGTTCTCATGCAGCAGGACAAGCTGACGACCCGACGGGCTTTGGACTCGCGGCCCAGAGTCGTAACCAAGTACCTGCCCGGAGACATGGTGGCCGTATGGCGCATGATGAAGAACAAGGGCATCCCGGGTAAGCGAGCCCACCACCGTTGGCGACCTGGTATCTGCATGGGCGAGGTGCGTGGCAACTACTGGGTGGCACTGCCGGGCGCGGTGGTCAAGGCGTCGCCGGAGCAGATGAGACCAGCAGTGCGAGAGGAACGACACGCGTGGCGCTTGGTGGAGGCGGAGCTGCGGACCAAGATGGTGAACCTGGAGCACTACAGCGGCCAGAGGTTCGAGGACATCACCGGAGGTGAACGACCCCCTGAAGGAGAAGCAGAACAGGTTCCTCCAGGTCCAGAAGTTCCAGCACCACCACCTGTCGTACCAGAGCCAGGAGAGCGAGAACCTGATGATCAGCCAGCTGACGGAGAAGACAAACCCCCAGAGCATCCCACCGGAGGGAGACGCGTGCGTGGCAAGCAGACCATGGACAAGAGGACGGTGAGTGAAGCCTACCAGCCGATAGAGGGCCAGATGGATGAGAACCGCGAGGAGCAGGAAGAGGCCAAGCGTCCACGGCTGGAGGAGCAGACGACCATCGACGAACCGTCCACCAGCCAGCAGCAGTTCGGAGGTGTGACGTACCCTCCGAGTCTGCCGAGCCCACCGCTCAGGGACTCGGCAAATGCACACCTGGCGAGAGATGTGGATGAAGACGTCATCGTGAACGAGGTGGACGTTCTGCTCACGCAGGGCAGTAAGGAGATCAACACCAAGGAAGACAAGTGGAAATCACCCGAGGGCCTCGCGATGATTGAGAAGGCGTACACCAAGGAAATGACGAGCTTGGTGCACGAGACCGAGGCATGGAAGCCAGTGGACTTGGAGAAGTCGCGGCTGCTGAAGACCCAGGTGCCAGATCGGATCTTACGTCCGAGGCCGGTGCTGACGTTGCGGACGGGCGACGACGGCAAGGAGGAGGTCAAGTGCCGGTGCACGCTGCAGGGCTTCAAGGACCCAGACATCCTGGACCTGGTGCGTGAGGGACGGACGGCGAGCCCTACCATGTCCACCAACGGGAGGGCGATGCTCTTGCAGACGTTGGCGTCCTGCAAGTTCGACCTGACCATCGGCGACGTGAAGTCAGCGTTCCTCGTGGCCGAGCCGGAGGCCAGGCCGAATGGCCCGATCTACGTGACGATGCCAAAGGACTACACGCTGAAGGGCCACCACCCGGAGCAGCTTTTCGAGGTGGTCAACGGATACGGTCTGGGAGACCAACCTCAGCAGTGGTGGCGCACGTTCGAGCGGTACATGGTGGAGGAGCTGAAGTTCGACCAGCACCCCATGGACCCGTGCGTGTTCCTGCTGAGGGAGCCCGTGACCCAGGAGAACGCCGGCCTGGTCGCCAAGGACAGGGTGTCGGTGATACCGTACGCCACTGGTTCTGAGAGCGCACAGCTGCGTGGTGAGCCTGGCGCGCTGTGCGGCATCCTTGGAGTGCATGTGGATGATCAGATCAATGGTGGCCGTGGTCAGCTGTGGACCACTGCGATGAAAAAGTTGCGAGCGAGGTTTCCATTCAGAAAGTGGGTGACAGGGAGTGGGGAGTTCACAGGATCTGTCCTCACTCAGCGAGCTGACTACTCGATCGTCCAGTCGCAGTCAGAATACGCGAAGGGGATCACACCCGCGAAGACGAGGAAATCAGCTCGGCCCGATGATGTAGCCCTGCCGTCGGAAGTGCACAACCACATTTCGACTACGCAGCAAGGGAACTGGCTGGCAGGACAGACGAGGCCAGACCTGAGTTGCCAGATTTCCTTCTCCCAGCAGATCATGCCTCACCCGACGGTCGGCCAGATCAGACGTTCGAATGCGTGGGTCAGGAGGGCGAAGCAGTTTCACGAGATCTCGGTGACTTTCCAGAGTATTGTTCCAGAACGTTTGCGTTTCGTTTGCCACTCGGACTACTCCTCGAAGGACCTGGACGGGACGGGGAGGACACAGGGCGGGTACATCATAGGTGCGACGGACCCCTCCATGGCAAAGGGTCTCTTGGCCCCCTGGTGCCCTCTGGTCTGGAAGTCCCAAAAGATCAAACAAGGGTGTACGTCGACACTGGCAGGAGAGAGCAAGCTCCTGAAGGCGTCTCTGGGTCACCTGGAGTGGATCATGTGCTCGTTCGCGGCCACCCTGTACCCCACGTTCTGCCTAGAAAATCGGGATCAGTATTCCAGGAAGTTCTCGCCGATCAGCGTTATCGATTGCAAGTCAGTGTTCGACCACGTGACGAAACCTGGGGCCCCCACAGGACTCGATGACAAGAAGGCCTCCATAGACATAGCTATCGCCAAAGGGAGCCTCCGAAGGTTTGGTGGTACTCTTCGCTGGGGCCCGACGGAGCTCATGTTAGGAGATGCGTTGACAAAAGACAAAGCAGAAGCAGCAGATGTACTACGAGCATGTATGAGGGCAGGAGCGTACCAGCTAGCCGACGAGTCCGTAACCTTGGCTAAGGCTCAAAGTGAGAAGGCGGCTCGTGCGAGCCGGGCATGTGCCCTGGGCCAGCCTCCAGGCCTGGGCCATGGTGAAGTTCGAGGCGACGGGCAGCGACGAGCAGGCCAGGGCATTTCTGCTCGGGCTGGTGGACGTCTACCCGGACGTGTCGTCCTACGTGGAGTCGGAGGCCAGGGTCAAGGTGAGCGTGCCAGCCAAGACGCTCCTGGGCGCCGTGCAGGCAAAGAAGGGCAACACGCCGGTGACGCTGCAGTACGTGGCCAACACCGGGAACATCCAGGTGATGACGGGAGTGGCACTGGAGGACGAGATTCGGGACAAGTGCAAGGTGCTGGAGAGGGCGTACGTTTCATGGCAGCGAGCACCGCTCGACCAGAAGCCGAAGTTGGAGATCAAGTCGCCGGCCACGGAGTTCTTCCGCAGCAACACGGTGAAGGCGAGCAAGAAGGAGATCGAGCAGGACGGCGACGAGAAAATCACGCTCCCGGACGACGAGGGATACTCCGAGGCGATGGACGCCATCCTCGAGAGCGTCGGGTGGTCTCTTTCCGAGTACCCGGTGATGAGGGACAGGATTCTCAAGACGTTGCAGATGTACGTGCCCGACGGGGAGGAGGAGACCTCTCCAAAGCGAGCACAGGCGGTCGGTGAAGACGATGATGGCACCGGCGACTGGCAGATGGGTGACAGTGTGAAGGTCAGAAAGTGAGGAGCCAGAAAAAGAGAGTAGACGAATGCGAACATGGACCCCTGAGGGCCCCTCTAGAGACCCCTCCACTGCCTGAGCCCTTGCGGACCTGTCTGTTGCCGTAGCCACTGTTATGGTTCGATAGGCCCCCTTCCGCGCGGACGCACGGGCGCCCTCAGCCGCTATTAGCAGGAGGCAGGAAGAGCATCATCCTCAGATCCTCTCGAGCTCGACTCCTCTCGCGATCGTCCTGACGGATTCGCACCATCTATTCGGACCCCATCTAGGAGGCCTCTGGATGTTCCAACCTACTTTTGCCTTGTGGACGACGATCAACGGAGAGGAAGCATATAGCCAAACAATTTCCACATGTCTGAAACATGTTCTAAACACGTCTTGAGCATGTAAAACCGTGTTTTAACCATAGTTAGAATATTTTCCGACATTGTTAACACATCTTTCATTCAATGATCGGATTGTTAGGGTGTGATTGTCATGGCATCCACAACTTTAGCCTTGAGCACCAGAGAGAATTTCGAGCACCAGGAGAGTACCGCAACTGGAGGGATTTCGCGTACCGGGCCCTGTGAGGAGATGCTCGCTCGACACTTCGCCAGCGTGTCGGGCAGACACTGTCTCGGTATTTCTCGGAGTGCCCGAAAGTATTTCTGGGATGTGGTCCATGTGTACGCCTTAGGCGATGCTTAAGAAAACTTAAGTTTTCGGCCAGAGTCTCGATTATTCTTAACGTTTCAATGTAAATCTTAATATTTTAATGGAAATGTTGGGTTCTTATTCAAGTTCTGAGACTATGAATTTCTTAACCCATGATTTCTTAAGCATTTCGCAGGGTGTACGAAGGGAACAGCATGATTTTTGGCCCCCCGTCAGGCGGCGAAGTCCGACCCCCCGCCCTCGGGCGACTCCGACGGGCGGCACGGGTGGGGTTCGGAGCTCGTCGAGGGCGTGGCGGAATCCGAGCCCTGCCCCCCGGCCTCCCGTCGGTCCACGGGCAAGCGACGGCTGGTGGGGCTGGGCTTCAGGCGTCGCCCCGTGCCTCGGGGGAGGGGGGCTCGGTCGGGGCTACACCTTAGGCGATTATTCTTAACGTTTCAATGAAAATCTTAAGATTTTAATAGAAATATTGTGTTTCTATTCAAGTTCTGAGACTATGAATTTCTTAACCCATGATTTCTTAAGCATTTCGCAGGGTGTAGGGGCGAGGACAATCCGTTCCAAAAGCGTTCCAGAACGCTCGCAGGGCCTTCCAGAATGCCCCGAGAGGGCCGCGGCGCCCGAGGCACCCTCCACAGCCGCCAGACCTCGGACACTCTCGGCGAATCCTCACCTCATTTTCTCCTCGTCCTGGGCTCGTCCTAGGCAACGTGGCCTCGGAGGCCGGGATTTTATCTCCGCGTCCCCGCTCTTGCTCCCCGTGGGGTCGGGGCGCGGGCGGGAACATGAATCAGATGTCGACCGACCGCCTGCTCGGGTTCGCCGCTCGTTTGGTCATGCTCTCGCAACGCCGATCCAAGAAGTCCGCGCGGAGCTCCGACCGCTGCCGTTCCCTCGTTTTCGCCTCTTGGGGCTGGGTTCGCCGCGCATCTCCAGTCCGCACGCACCCAAGGAGGGGTCCGGTACCTGTTTCATGAGCTGACAGCCGGCACCCACACCCATGCGAGATCCCAGATCTCTCGGGGTGGCACTCCTGGGGGGGGGCAGGGGCTCTGGGTGTGCGTTGTCGGAGGAGGATCCCCGTTCTATGGACTGTCCTCCTCACCCGATTTTGTCCTCGTCCTGGCCCTCGATTTTGGGAAGAGCGGCGTAAACCTCAAACTTTTGGCGCTCCGCGCGGATTTCTTGGGTCTGCGCTGGAGGACCCCCCTCCTTGGCGCGCGGAGCGCGCCCGGGGCGGCGCCGGAGGCGCCGCCGGGGGGCCAGGGGCCAGGGGGGGCCCGCCGCATCAGGGGGCCAGAGGTGCGGAGCTTCGCCGCACCAGCACCCATGCCTAGGCGGCCCCCAGATCTCTCGGGGGGGCACTCCGGGGGGAGGGGCTATGGCGTGCGTTGTCGGAGGAGGGTCCCCGCTCCCACTGGAGCCCTCAATTTTTTACCCTCGCCCGAGGTGGTCCTCGCCGGATGTTGTCCTCGTCCTCGCCCGGTGTTGTCCTCGCCCTCCTCTCCGAGATTTACCTCGCCCGAAGGTTGTCCTCGCCCGATGTTGTCCTCGTCCTCGCCTGATGTTGTCCTTGTCCTCTGCTTCGAGATTTGTCCTCGCCCGACGTTGTCCTCGCCCCCAGATGCCCGACGTCATGATTCTTTCATGACGCGACCCCCAGAGGTCCGGACCCATTCCCAGGGTCCAGTACCTCCGCCTAAGGCGTTTCTTGTCGCGCTCCCGAGGCCCGGTGAGGGCCCCCAGAAGCCGAGAGAGCAGCGAAAGACCTCCCGCCGGGATTTTTCACAGCGCGAAGGGGGGTCCGGGCCCCGGCCTCGTCTCGGGGAGAGCCCCCCTCCCCCCCTCAGCCGGCAGCTGGGGCACTGGGTGGGTGCGGAGCCCCCTCCCCCGCCGGCCCGACGGTCCGCCGGCTCGGGGCTCTGGAGGGGGGGGGTGCGGGCCTCCTCCTCCTCTTCCTCCTCCACCTCCTCCTCCCCCTCCTCCTCCTCCTCCTCCTCCTCCTCCTCCTCCTCCTCCGACTCGATCCGATTCCGATGGCTTCCGATTCCCGGTCCGCTTCGACCTGGGACCCCGATCGGGGCTCCGCTTCCTCCCTGGAGGCATACCAGCCTGCCGATACAGTCAACCATGATAGTAAGGATGGAGCAATTTTCCAAGGCTATCCTTGCGTCCATGCCCCTTCGGCATTCGGCATCCCTCGGCATTCCGTTGCGCTCCGCACGGAAAACGTCAACATGGCGTTCCAAGGCCCTTGCATCCTTACCGCGCATCCTTACTATCCTGGTCGAGTGTACATCCGCCTCAGACATGCGCCGTCCTGATTTTTTCAGGACGGCGTCCCCGAAAGTCCGCACCATTTCCCCAGGACCGGCTCTTCATCCTGAGTCGTTTTTTGACGCTCCCGAGGCCCGGCGAGGGCTCCTTAGAAGCTGCCGAGCCGAGGGGGGAGGGGGGTTGGGGAGTGGGGGAGGGCACGTCCTCCTACAGTCAGGAGCGAAAGAAGGACGTACATGTACATGAATCCACGATGGTTTCGAGAGTACGCATCGCGCGAATGTTCGTATCATGCGGCTGGTCTCGCGGATCGAGGGGCCACGTTCATGTACATGGTTGGGCGCGTACGTCCTTTGTGGGCTCCCTATACAGGCGGATTCCTGCCGAGAAATGGACAATCCCCCCACCCAAACAATTATCCCAGTGCGACCCTACGTAGGAGTTGGAACCCCTAGGAAAGCAGCATTAGTAGTAACAGTAACGCTAAGCTAAAGCTAAGCTAAAGCTAAGCCACAGCTAAGCTAAAGCTAAGCCACAGCTAAGCTAAAGCTAAGCTAAAGCTAAGCTAAAGCTAAAGCTAAGCTAAAACTAAGCTAAAGCTGAGCTAAAGCTAAGCTAAAGCTGAGCAACAGCTAAGCTACAGCTAAGCTACAGCTAAGCTAAATCTAAGCTAACGCCAAGCTAAAGCTAAACTAAAGCTAAGCTACAGCTAAGCTACAGCTAAGCTACAGCTAAGCTAAAGCTAAACTAAAGCTACGCTAAATCTAAGCTAAAGCTAAGCTAAAGCTAAGCTAAACGCTAAGCGAAAAGCTAAGCGAAACGCTAAGCTAAAGCTAAGCTACAGCTAAGCTACAGCTAAACTACAGCTAAGCTAAAGCTAAGCTAAAGCTAAGCTAAAGCTAAAGCTAAAGCTAAAGCTAAAGCTAAAGCTAAAGCTAAAGCTCCCAGGGGACCGGGGGGAACCGCTCCCAGGGGACTGGGGGAACCGCCCGGGGCGCTTTCCACTGCCCGGCCCCTTTAAGCTAAGAGAGTAAGAACCCTTCTAGGCAGAGCCTAGGTAGGGAAAAAAAGAAATAACACCCCAACGGAGTCCAAAAACCTCCCCCGAAAAATGCCCCCAAACACCCCAAGATAATCAACAACATATGGTCTGCCTATGTTTGTTGGCGGCGCGCACAAGGGGGTGGGGGGAGGGGGGAGGGCTTCTTAGAAGCACCCCTGCTCCTTAGAAGGCGCGGGCCTTATCTATAGATGTAAGGCTGGCGCCTTCTAAGAAGCAGCCTGCTTCTAAGAAGCCCTCCCCCCCCTCCCCCCACCCCCTTGTTCGCGCCGCCAACAAACATAGGCAGACCATATTTTTTGACTCTCTCTTGGAGTGCTTTGGGGTGCATTTTTCGTTTTTTTTGGACTCTTTTGGGGGGGGGGGGGGACATTTTTCATTTCTCGGCAGTAATCCGCCTGTGGGAGGACGTGCCCGACCTGACGCAAGCCTTCCCCGATGGCCCCGTCCACAGGGAGAGGGCTCCTCGGAGTGGCCAGGGGGCTTCCCAGAGGCCCCGCACCCTTCCGAGGAGCACTGCCTCCCTCTCGCTGCCCCTCCTTGGGCGCGCCACCGCCCTCCCCCTCGAGGAGGATCTCCCGGGACGGCGATGCCCCGCTGGCCAAGGCGGGCCCCCTGCGCCTCCTTCGCGCCGCGGCCGCCTCCGGGCTTCCGAGCTGAGCGCTGGGCATCGTCGTGGTCGTGGTCGTGGTCGTGGTCGTGGTCGTGGTGGTCGTCGTCGGTCGTCGTCGTCGTCGTCGTCGGTCGGTCAGTCGGTCGGTCGGTCGGTCGTCGTCGTCGTCGTCGTCGTCGTCGTCGTCGTCGTCGGTCGTCGTTAGCGTCGTCGCCCGTCGTCGCTCGTCGTCGTTGTCGTCGTCGTCGTCGTCGTCGTCGTCGTCGTCGTCGTCGTCGTCGTCGTCGTCGCCGCCGCCGCCGCCGCCGCCGCCGCCCGCCGCCGCCGCCGTCGACGTCACGTTGTCATCGCCGTCGTCGCCGCGGCCGCTCTGCAGGCCTCCGT